ATTAATTTTAATATATTAATATTAAATATGCTTATATTGCTATAAAAATCCTTTTGTTAGGACTGCATTATATTATGGCTTAGCTTAAGGATTTGATATATTTGTGATGCTGTCTTCCCATCTAAGGAAATCTTATGCCAGAGAGCAACACAGATGGACATCCCTGGGAGCTTTTAACAAAAACGCCGAGCTTTTGTATACATTATGTGTGTCAAGTGTTTAAAGCAGGTCATGCACTAGTGCAGCAATAAATTTTACTTTAGGACTCAAGCAAAACATTTTGACACTATATTGTGATTATGTCCCTAAAGTGCATAGTAAATAAACATTTTTAATTTAAAAATATGTATCAAGAGCCTTAAAAATTCACATTCTAATAATTCTCTTCCAAAGCAAGGGAATTCGAGACATGAAGGAAGCATTGTATACCAGTTCTTACTATAATGTTTTTAGAACAATAAAATGAGAAATGATGTAAATACACATTGGTGGAGGCTTGGTTAAATTATGGTAATCCTTATCTTGAAATGCCTTTCAGTGACTCAAAATTTTTCTTCTCATACATATTTATTGACATAAAAATTCCAGTTATAATTTTAAGTTGTAAAAAAGAAGAAAGTAAAAATATATTTAGCATGGCTTGGATTTGTTTTTAAAAGTTGAGTTTGTATATATTATGAATACTTTCAAAATAGACAGGAAGGCAGTAAACCAAAATGTTGGTATTAGCCATCTACAAGGGTTGGATTGTACAATTATATTTTTTCTTTGTGTTTTGTATTTTCCAACTTTTCTACAAGAAGCATGATTATTTTATAATCTAAATAATGAAATTCTTAAAAATTAGCTTCCATAACAAGGTTGTAGTTGAATAACAAGTATACGGGGTATACTAGTGGTTAACAAATACATTATTATCCAAAGTCAGAGCAACCTACAAATGCTGAATGTTTTCTTAATTTTATTTATGACGTAGCTGCCCTGCCTAATGAAATTCTTATTGAAATCATGCTTTTATTAATGAATGACTGATATATAAAAATATAGCTTTAAAAATGGTGGCTGTAGAAATTTTTTAAAAGAACCACAGTAGTGACATTAAATGTGTCTATTTAGAAAGAAAAGTAATCATTAGACAATTTTATGATTTGCGCCAGTAGCATGACTACTGTACACTTCTTTTAAAATAAAGCACAGCAACACAAAAAAAGATAAATCACTTATTGTTATAATTTTACTATCAAAGGAAGTTTTCACCACCTGTAAACCAGCAAGGAGGAAAAGGGGCTAATTCCACGATTGTGATGTGGATGAGGAGCAGATGAGGATGCCAACGTGTCCGCCCTGTTTTGATTGCTGCTGAAGTATCTATTTCACATAGAGCAGCATCTGCTTCCCATAGTGTGTTTATATGCTCTCGGGGTGAGCGTTACCAACTGTCTGCTACTAATCCTGTGCCAAGGAGTTATATTTACTTCTCTCAGACACAGGGAAATTTGAGAACTTGGAATCACTTTAAGAAATGAATATATCTTTTAAATTTGGTTTTATTTGAAATGTGTCTAGAATGCCTTTCCTGCTCATTCCAAAAAGCATTTTATTGCTGAGTTTTTAAATGTTATTCCTAAATTTTGTAAGGACTCCAGTTTATAACACCCATAGACTGGAGACTTGGACAATGAAGTGCTTTGGGCTGAAAATTTGGTGACACCTTACTATAAATTTTAATCAATGGAAAGTACACTAAGGTTTAAAATGAAAAGGGAAGATTTAGGCACTAGTAGCCTTTTACTTTGGAATTTGGGGAGAATAAAAAAATTTTTTGGAAATAAATGGTTTTTATTTTATAATAAGCCTGTTACTTATATATTTGTGTATAAGATACTTGTAATTAAATGTTTTTCCAGAAAGTGATGATTTTCCTAAGGTTGAGAAATAGAATTCCTAGCTCCTGATTGTTGGAGTCTAGAGCTAATCCTGCCCTCAGCTATATCTTCATTCAAAACCTTTTATTGAGCACATACTGTACTATGCACCTTACGTGGTACAAGAGGCTGAAGACAGATAAATAAGACATGATTCCTGCCCTCAAGGAATATTCAGATGAGTGAAAGACAAAAGCCAAGTAAGAGGATGGTCATAGTGACAGATAAACTCCATATACCAGGTGTTATGAGAAATGGGAGAGGAGCACTTGGACTCTGAACAACGACCTAGAGATTTCACCCAGTGGGTGGGGTGCTCAGTGGAGGGGGTGATAACATCGCTGCTGCTGACTGATGATGACAACAGTGATAAGAGGGCCAGGCACTGTGCTCAGTGCTGTATATCTACATATACGTTACCTATTTAATCTACAGCTTATTCCAATGAAATAGGTAGTACAATACTTTCTTTTTACAAAGGAGGAAGCCAGGTCACCAACAAAAAGAGGCAGAGTTGAGACATAAAACTGGGTCCATTTGACTTGGAGTCTAAGCCTTTTACGTGTTTGGGCTTTGGAGTTCTACAGAGCTGGATTTAAATTCTGGTGCCATGTGTTCTAGCTGAGTAATTGTTGGCCAGTTAGTTAACCTCCATAAGCTTCAGTTTTCTCCTTTGTAAAATGAGGATGGTGACAGCACCTGTGAATGATGCTGTCGGCTTCCTACCTAATAGTGACCCTTTCTTCCCTCCTTCTTCCTTGCCCATGGAGCCCAGCCCCATTCACTGCAGCTGAAAATCACAGATCCTCATGATCTCAGCTGCACTTGCAGAGAGGGCCTGAACACATGACCTAGTCCTGGCCAATGGGGCCCAAGGGGAGAAATCGGTGGGAGGAACATTTCCTCTCTAATAAAAGGATGTTAGAAATCTGCTTGCATGATATATGGTCGTGTGAAACCTGCTACCGCTCTAGCCAACTTGCAATGTGAAAAGGAGATGCCATGGGCACACTGAGGGTAGCTGCAGAAAGTTGGTAAGCAAAAGAGTCCATGTTGACATCACCGAGCCAATGACCTCTCTGAACTACGTGAGACTGTAAATTTCATTATTTAAACCACTTTTAATTGAACATTCTGTTACTTATAGATACATCAAATTTATCGAGGTTTAGATGAGTTAAATTGTGTAATACATTTAGTATAATACTGGTATATAAGTGCTCAATGATAGAGGCTATTAGAATCCTCTTGGCCAAAGTTATCTAAGCGTTTTTTTTTTATTTTGTAGCTTTTGAATATTAGTAAGGCATGAAGTTTTCTTTCCTTTTTTAATAACCATTTCTAAATCTACCAAATCTAAGCATATAAATAATTATATTAAGTAATAATATGTATAAGTAAGCATATTATATATATAAGTAATATATAAACCAAATAATTGATGCTGTCTGACTTCTTGAGAGATTTAACATATTCAAAGTAATAACGAAGTGAATTAGCACAGAACATTGAACTATTAGATGAGCTTCTGGATTGATCATTAATTCGCTTTGCATATCCATTCAAGCTATTCAAGTTTTATATAATAATTTGTATTAAAGAATTACAGGCATCCACATGAAAGAGACTTTCATTTTCAAAAATTAAAATAGCATACAATTGATCATCAAAAGCACACCTGCAAGCGAACAAGATGAGTTTACTACTCAGTTGCAGAGAGGGAGACCGCACCCCGTAGAACATCATGGAGCGCCTCAGTGAAAGGGCATGAAAAGAACCTATTATGGGGTCAGGCTTTGGTAGGTAATTTGGAAATGGGTCTAAGATAGTGAGGGTTTGTTCTAGATTACGGGCTATAAGAAAGCAGAAACAATTCTATGATTGGATACCTCAGTGAGTCTACTTTATAGGGAGGGGAGATTAGAATGAGGATAAAACTGTAAGTGGTGAATAAGTAGTAGTCACTTATTTTGTCCATGAGAGGGGATGTTTGATATTCTATGGGTGGCACACTGACTTTGTTTTTTTTCTACACATGGACAAAATTATAAAGAGGCCTTATTTTGTCTCATTTTTATCATGGCCTTAGAGTAACATTGCCCAAGATTGATATTCTATGAGATGATTTATGTCTAATAGGAGAATAACATGGCCTAGCGTAAGGTGAGCTTCTGAATGTCAAGGGGTGTCATTTTGGTTTTCTTTTCAATGCAAAGTGCAACAATATAAAATGCACACCTGCCTTTTATATGTAATGTTGCATTTCAAAATTAAAATCAATAAGGTGATAGTACTTTGATAAATAGAAAGCAAAATACGGTAGTTTCTACCGTATACCGTATACGGTCCACACTGTATTTCTACCATATACGGTCCACACTGGGAAAGTCCTATAGTTCTCTTTGCTGATTTAAGGATATTAGACTGGGAATTCCCCAACAATAGTAGAAAAATATTTCCTTAAAAGAGGGTAGTTTTAGACTGGCCATATCCTTCATCCTGGTACAAAAGATGAAAAGGGAATTTCTATTCTATGTTTCAGTCATTCATTCTGGCATTCAAATTCCACCTAGCATTCTTAGTATTAAAAAAACTTCAGTGTTTACTTCTTAAAACATCTTTTGACTATCATAAGTTTCTCTTAGTATCTATTTTTGTCTGCATGTTTTTAAAAAAGATTTTAAAAGATCATGGTAATAACTTCTTAATTAATGTACAGGGAATAATATTATAAGTCACAGATGAGCTTCAGTTGTGTTTTAGTTCTGGAAATATTTTAATGCCACATGGCCAGATGAAAACTGATAATAAACCATGAAGACATAGGTGTAGAAATAATGATAAAAGCTGCAATTCGATTCTGGATTACAAATTGGAAAATTAGGAAAAATTCAAGGAGACACAAATAAAAGTATGTTATGAAATTCTATTTTTGACAAAACTTTTAAAAAAGATAATACTTGGATGATAACTGGAGTAGATGTTTACTGACTCAAAATAGGCGAAAACCCTATATCTCTCCCTGAAAACACTCCTGATATATACGATTTTAGCTCAGGGTTTTACTTATTTCATTTTTATTGCACAATTTTCTTTATTCAGAAAAACAATATAAATGCCTATGTTCTAAAATCTTTTTATTTTCCATGCGAGCGATCTCGAGGGTGAAGATTACCATAGCGCGCTCTCATTGCTTTGCGTTTCTTCTTTTTGTATCACGATACTGATCACGACGTACCCACGGCGGAAAGCAAGATGAGCAGCATGTTGAGACCATCGCTCCTCTCCCTCTGTGAGAACAGAGGAAGCCGTATCTAGGCTGATGACTTGGCTCTACGGATCTCAAGATGCTTATCTGTGGAAGGTTAAGGGCAAAAGCGCTGTTGCTGTGGTTCTCACACTTCATTGTGCATCAAAATGACCCAGAAAGTGCGTTAAAACACAGCTTGCCGAGCCCCGCCCCAAAGAGTTTCTGATTCCTTAGGTCTCAGGTAGGGCTCAAGAATCTACCCATTTCCAACAAGTTCCCAGGTGATGGTGATACTGCTGGTACAGGAACCACACTTTGAAAACCATTACCCTATTGGAAAAGGAATTATTTAAATTTCTACCTGTTGAATCCCCTGCCAGGTGGGTTATATGTTCCTCCTTTCAAGGCTAATCTTTCAACATGAGTCTGATGTGGCCCAGCTTCAAGTCCCCTCCTGTTGCTAATGCCCTCAATCTGTTTCCTAGACCTCTTGTCCAGAGCCTGAGTCCTGAACCCCAGTCGTCACAGCCTACATCTTCTCCCAGCCTCCCGCACCTACAGGACTCGCAGTGCCTGCCAGCTTCTCTTTTCTCTGCACCAACCATTCTTGGCTTGCCTGGTTCTATTATCACCTAAGTCCCCCGTGAAACCTATTGCCTATGAAACACTGATTTATTTCATTTCCATTTGCTGTGATGTATATAATGAACTAGAATTTTCCTTGGGGGTTCAAGAGAAATAAAAATGTTTGATTTAATAGAGGTTTAAAGCAGGGATATATGAACTGTTGGTTGAATCACCATAACTAATAGGACAATGAGCAATTGATTTGAATAGTAATGGACTTCACTGATACCAAGAAATATTTACATTGAACATAGTCAATAAATATTAGTTTTCTCTTGCTGTATAATAAATGACCACCAACTTAGTGGCTTAAAACGATCCCTGTTTATTAGTTGACCGATCTGTCCATCAGAGTCTGGCATAGCAGAGCAGGCTCCTTGCTCAGAATCTCACAGGGCTGAAATCCAAGTGCCAGCTGGCTGCATTCTCCACTGGGGGCTCAACTAAGGAAGGCTCAATCTGTTTCCAAGCTCAGGTTGCTTGCTAACTGTCAGCTGAGGACCACGCTTCACCCCTGGAGGCCATTCCTTCTCACGGGCCCTCTCCAACGGGGCAGTAACAGAATCTTTGGAGGTCAGCAGGAGAATCTCCCTTAAACTGAATCCTCTTCGTGCTTTGAATTCCTCTGTCTTCTGCTGCTGCCACCAGCCAGAGAAAACTCTTCATTGCTAAAGGGCTCATGTAATTAGATTAAGTAGACCTAACTGCATAATCTCCCTTTTGACATATAAGGTAGCCTGCTCACGGGGATAACGTTTCATGATATTTATAGGTTCCTCCCACACGCAAAAGGGAGATAATTGTAGAAGGTTGAAGGTCACTGGGATAGAATTCTGACTGCTACAGTCTACCTCCTGACCCCAAATGATCCACATCTGTCCCACATTCAAAATACATGCACTCTCTTCAAAGGTTTCCAAGGGTCTTTTCCCTGTATAAGATCAGTTTGAAGTCTAAAATCTCATCTAAGTATCATCAGCTCAAAATCAGGTGTTGACGAGGCTCCTGTGTATAATTAATTCTGAGCACAATTCCTACCCTGTTTCCCCGAAAATAAGACCTACCCATAAAATAAGCCCTAGCAGGATTCCTAAGCATTTGCACAATATAAGCCCTACCCAGAAAATAAGATCTAGTGATGGGCGGGGCTACGCAACGTATCTGCACAACCCAGGCATTTCATCGCGGAGCAGTAAAGAACATGAGCAGCCCTTCTCATCTGCCCCATGAGAGCTCTATTGCTCAACATGACAGATTGGGGCCAAAGGTTCTAAAGGAAATAGAGTCATAAGAAATTCAGGATGGAATTCGGGGTTCGCAGAGTTATGAGATGTTCCAGAAGAAGATGACTTAACTATATATGAATAAATGTAGATTGTTGTACCGTACTTAAAAAAAAAATATATCACATCCCCTGAAAATAAGCCCTAGAGTGTCTTCTTGAGGAAAAATAAGTATAAGACCCTGTCTTATTTTCGGGGAAACATGGTATCTATTTATGGGCCTATGAAACTAAAGAGACAGATTACCTGCCCCACACTTTCAACATACAATGTGGGATAGGCATAAGATAGCAGTTACAGGCATTTCAGTTCAAAATGAAGGTACAAAGAAGTGAACAGTCCAAAGCACAGCCAGCTGGGCCAACCCCATTGGGTTTCAAAACTTGGGAATAATTCTCCCTGACTCTGTGCTTCATTCCCTAGGGTCTTGGCTTTTCCCATCCAGGCTCTTGGTTCTTCGCTTTGGGTGAGGGTCAGTGGGGGTCATTCTTAGAATTCTGCCTACCATAGCAATGATTTGACTTTTTGTGTAGCTCACATTTCCCATATCTTGAGGGATTCATGGCAGATACATAGTAACACATGATATGGTGACAAGCATACTATAACCCAAATGTTTATAAAGCTAGTAAAATGGCACCCCAGTTTTTTTTGTTTTTGTTTTTGTTTTTTTGAGACAGAGTCTCACTCTGTTGCCAGGCTAGAGTGCCATGGCATCAGCCTAGCTCACAGCAACCTCAAACTCCTGGGCTCAAGCCATCCTCCAGCCTCCACCTCCTGAGTAGCTGGGACTACAGGTATGTACCACCATGCCCAGCTAATTTTTTCTATATATATTTTTAGTTGTCCAGATGATTTCTTTATATTTTTAGTAGAGATGGGTCACACTCTTGCTAAAGCTGGTCTTGAACTCCTGACCTTGAGCAATCTGCCTGCCTTAGCCTCTCAGAGTGCTAGGATTGCAGGCGTGAGCTACCACGCCTGGCCAGCACCCCAGCTTTTAAGCATGATGATGTTAATCACCATATACCAAATGATGACTAAGTCCCTTGGCATATTCCCCCAGCAATGATCTCATACTCATAAGTGATGACTTCTAGAAGTGAGGAGCATCCATCCATTGGTAATGGTGATCTGACAGATGATTATTTCAATAATGAAATATGAGGAGACAAAAGAACTGAGAAAAAAGTTCCCAATAAATGCTTTAAACAAATCCATTAGCGTTTCTTTAAGCCGATGTTTCTCTAGAATAGTTAATTCTCATCAATAAGAAAAAGCGAAGCAAATATCACTTACATTTGGGTAGTCAATTTCCTAGTCTAAAATAAGGGATCCCTAAGACTGAATCTAGGCACAATGTCTAGCATATGGAAGACTTTTGGGGGAATTTCAGCAGTGGCATTTAAATCATGCAACCTTGGAGACCACGTCCATGCAAGCTATCCTGACTTTGAACAAAGTCATGAGAAGGCTGACATGGGCAAAAGAGAGAGAAGAATATAGTTCACAATAATTTGTTGTGTATTTCAAAATAACTTGAAGAGAATTAGAGTGCTCCTAAACATGAAGAAAAGATAAATATTTGTGGTGATGGTTGTCCCAATCACTCTGATCTGATCATTACACAGTATATACATGTATAAAAATATCACATGTGCCCCCAAAATATGTACAACTATTATATGTTAATTTAAAAAAGAGGGAGAGAAGGTCTTTAAAGAACTACAGTAGGCAGGGGAAAAGGTAAAGACCACTTAGTACTTGAAGCCTAGAACATAATTGTGTGTCTGATTCTGATTCAGAGGTTATCTCTGAGATTTCTGAGTAGAGAGGGGAGAAGGGTTATTATTGTTGGAACAGCAGGCCAGAGATAGCATTGGCAATAAATAGAAAGCGGACTAGTAGACAGAGGTGAGCTGAGGATGGGGGAAGAGTGTACAGCGATAGATAACGTGCACATTTCGTTCTTCACAAATTAAAACAATGGCCCCAACCTGCTGTCAGCACACAATGTTCCCTGAGGCATTTTTCAAGAAGCGCTCATGGACTTTTGCTAATGTCAGCATCATTTCTTATCCAGTCTCTCCCGTGAACAAGGCCACGGATTATAGTGGGTTATTGTTGCAATTACTACAGTGCACACAGGGTTATGTGAAAATTCAGTTTGTGGAGAGAGAATCACACAAATTTAACCATCACGGGTAGAACTCTGGTTGTGGCCTTTTTAGATAATCTAATGGGTGCCATTTATTGAGTGCCTCCTATGTGTAAAACACGGTGTTACGTGTTTTAAAAAGGTTATCTCGTTCAGTTCTCAAAGAAATCCTTTGGCAGTAGGAATTTTTGGCCCCAATTTAAAGTCGAGACAACTGGGGCTCTGAAAGAGGTTATTATTCATATTTCCCAATGACACAGTGGTGGTTGCTTCCGTAGCACTCTGCATACTTTTCTCATGGTTTACCCACTAAATTGAGATGGCCTGTGTATGTGTCTGTCACCAACACCAGACTGTGAGGTTGTGAGGAAGGGGACCCTTCTTATCTGAACCTAATGTGGCCAGTCCACGTGTGTTGAACCGAACTGTCTGCCTCTTAAAGCCTGAGCTCTTATCATCTGGCATGATGTGCTAACCACCTAAACTCAGCAGCCGTAAAAACATAAAAATGTGGCAGGGACACAATTAGGGCCTGGAGTCGAGGAGAGCCACAGCGTTTTAGTGTCGGAAGGCCTCCAAGAAATGGCCTCTGTCCTTCCCTTCGGAAGAATTCATTCTCAAAATTCTTTGTTCAAGCACTTTCTTCTTGATGAAAAGAAACTAGACTCCGTGAATGGCACATAGAAACTGTTGTAAAAAGCTTTCTTCCTCCAACTTCCTCTTGCCCTCCCTCCACCAGCCCACAGGACGACAACAGAAGTTTGACAATAGTTACCGAGTGCTTCCTGCGTTCCTGGCGCTACTGGTTGGCCCTGTAGAACAGGACACTGGAGCTCACAGGTTCACAGACAGTAAATGAGGCCCGACAGCAGTGAGGAGCGCAGAGGCTACGAGAATAAACTAGGGGGGCCCAACTTGGTCTTCGGGGTGAGGACAGATATGAGGGCCATTTAAGTGGAGGCCTAAAGGCTCAGTAGGCATCAGCCAGGAAAAGACTGTGAGCAGGGACTGAAGCTGAGTGATGCACAAGAGTCTAGCACAGCCACGAAGCAGTATCAATGTGGCAGATGCAGAGACGTGGAGGAGAGAGGTAAGAATCAAAGGCGTGGAGCGGGTGGAGGCCAGATCCTGGAGCGTCTTGGAAACAACATGAACATCTGCAGACTTTTTCCCAAGAGCAGGGAGAAGCCACTGATCTAGAGGAGCAGCATGGCATGCATATGTCCCTTTCTCTCTGGGCAGCTGGGGGAAAGTTGGTTAAGGTGGCAAGAGCAGTTGTGGGAAGACCAGTGAGGAGGCTAAAGCCTCAGGCTGGAAGGGTTGACGACAGTTTTTAAAATATCCCCACTGCCTGACACCACCACTCCTACATTCGCCACCAAGTTATGTCTCTGATGGATACTTTGTATCCATCACAGAATAGTCTGGAAAGTCCGTGATTACAGTGCTGTTGACTGTGTGGTCTAGCCCCTGCCTGCCTCTAGCTTGTGGGTCCAGATCTCCCTCTCATTTGCATTCACAAATACTACATTCACTTTGGCTTTATTTTACTTTCACAAAAGCACTGACTTCTTTTTTCACCTCAAGACAGGCCCTTAGCAACTCCACCTGGACCACCCTTTCTCCCTGCTCTCATTTCCTAGTTCATTGCTCCAGTTCTAGCTCTCCCATTAGGTGATGTCTCCCCAGGACAGCCCACCCTGACCCCTAAGAATAGGTCAGGCCTCCTGTTGCACGTCCTCAAAAGCATGCTGTGTTTCTTCTTCCTAGAGCTCATCTCACGTTGTATACATATTATGTTTATTTGTCTATGATTTGTGAGGAACCTTTCGATAGCAGTGAGTGAAATCCAACTCACAATGACCTAAGCAAAAGACCAAACGTGGCGGGTGGAGGCATGTATTGGCTCACATAACTGAGGGGCTGGGCCAGGGTTAGCAGGTTGCCTAGCCCCAGCGAGCGTCATTCCACCATCCCGGAGGTGAGTGGCACAGTGGTACTGGCTAGGGGATATTTGGTCTCTGACATGGCGGTTCCATCTCTCCTTGTTGGTGTTGACTTCAGTCACCGGTAGGCTAGCTCCGTGTGCCGGAACCCCGAGGCTCCCGGCTCATGTCCTCCCAGCTTCAGGCACAGTGGGAAGAGATTCTCTTTATCACCACGTTCACAGAAAGTCCCTAAACTGATTTAAAAAAATAAAAGTGAGGTATGTAAAAAGACTCTCTCTCTTAGGTAACAGAAATCCAGAGCTAGGTGGTTTCTAGCTTGTATGTTGCGCCTCAGTGACAGGGACACAGACCAAGGCCAGATGTCTAGGCCCCCACTGGCATGGACATCCTCACGGAGGCTGGTCCTAGCAGGTAGAGTTCAGAGGATGGGATTCCCTGGTAAGGTGTTTACTCAAAGAAGCCAGAGACCACAAAACGAGAGGAGCGAGTACAAACCATAATCAATACGAGCTATCCATAGATGATCCAATGCAACGTGGTCATGTGTCAGGCATGTCTACAAATGGGCAGGGAACCCAGGGGTTAGGAGTCTAGGGGGCAGGAAGTGGGGGAGAAGGCAGGTAGGAAGCAAGTTAAGGGAAACAGCTCAGGATGTGAACCATAAGCTAGAGCAGGGTGGAGAGGCCTGTTCTCCCTGGTATTTCCCCAACAATGGGGCTGGAAGACTGTTAGCTACAAGTTGCAAGGTAGGTCCCAGAGAGGCGGGAATCTTTCAAGGAGCCAACTATACCCAGCAGTTCATTCCCAGATCTAGGGACTGAGGGGCACGGAGAATGGCAACTCGGAGAGCAAACACCTGTTACGGAGGACATATATTGGGGAAGCGATATAGCACCTCGGGTCTGGAGTCAGATTGTCTGGATACAGATTCTAGCCTGCCACTTACTAGCTGTGTGTGATTTTGGTTAAATTACTAAACTGCCCTAACCCTTGTTTTCCCCATGTGTGTAGAAGTATTTACGATGTCTGTTATGAAAATTAAATAATGTCGCAATCCCAACCTTTTTTGCACAGCTTGTTACACACAGAAAAACTAAATAAATGTTCACTGTCATTGTCAGTAGCAGCAAATTATAATGCTAATTAGCAACAAAGGAAACTGAGGAACAAACTGGAAACCATGGTCGGCACTAGAGCCCTTGAATGCTGGCTCTGCATTGCCACACTCTTTTCTCCTTTGGGACTTTCCATAAGGTATTCCCTGGAACCTCTTTTCCCTCTTCTACATCTGGCTAAAATTTCAACAGCTCCTTCAGACCTCAGCTTAAGTGTCCCTTGCTTGAGAGCATGGTGGCTCCTGCTGTCCCAGGGCACCGGCCTGATGAGTACACTGAGGACACGTGACTTTGCCACACTGTGTCTAGTTTCACCTGGGAAGTCGGGCCGAGGCTAAGTCTTCCTGTTCAAGGTCCAGCTTGGTCTCCCACACAGAGGTGAACTGAGTCTCCGCATGTACTCATTCATTTTTATTCAGCAAATGTTCACTGAATACATCCTCTGTGCCAGGCACTCTGCTGAATTGTGGCGATTCAGAGTTGGACATCCAAACACAGCCCTTGCCTGCCCTCTTGGGCCTTGCAGTTGTACAAGGGAAACACATACAGCATCACGAGGCTCCTGGAAGAGGAGATGAGAGTACGATGGGAGGAATGGTGGGGGGTAGAAGAAGTAGGCAGGACACCAAGTGGCCTCCAGTTATAACAAGGGAGACACAGGGGCTGAAAAATTGGCAGGGTCCACCTTCACTCAGCAGGTAGGCATTTTTCTTTGAAATGGAAAAGCAGAAACTTGCAAGTATATTTTGTGAGTTTTCCTCTAGGGATAGGAGTTTACAAATGCATATTTCTCAGATAGTTATGAATGGAATAGAAATTCTCTCTCTTTCTCCCCTCCCTAGCCTCAGAACCAGGGCACTGCTCAAACCATTTTACTTTCCCAACACATCTAACATTTTCATTTAGGGTTTTAGCAACTTCTTGTCTCCCCAGGAACAGTGGGTGGGAACTTCACATTACTATAACTCAGGGACCTGGAATGGTGATTTTACCCAAACAGACACACCCTGGGTATTACTGTTTATTCTGAGGTTGGATGAGGCAGAACAGTAACAGGGTTCTTCTGGGCAGGGAAAATATGGGATTCTAGCCCCAGAGCCTACTGAATAGACACACTAAATTAGAGTTTGAGTATGTGCTGTTTTTCACATTTGTCTTTGTGTCTTTTGTTTTGGTTTTGGTTTTGAGATGGGGATGGAACAAGGGCAAATTGCTTTTTTTAGTCATTGATCCAGAAGGCAGACCGTGAGATCTAAGTCAAAGACTTGTCCTCTGGGGCCCCTTGGCTGGGTAGCCAGGGACTTGGCTGGATAGTTTTCAGTATCATGTCCCTCTAGCTGTCAGCACAACCGAATGTTGAGTTTTACTTGGCACCCTCAGGCTAGGAGAAGCTAGGTCTGGCCCTTCCCATTCGCTCAGGGTTGGGTTCTACCTGAGGAAAAATGTATAGCCATAGCATCGAGTTCAAAATACTTACATGACTTCCTAAGATGCTCCCTGACCTGCCTCCTTCATTTCTGTTGCAGGTTATTTTCCTCCCGTGTGGGGCTTCTTTCAGTTCTTCAGCAGCCAGCCCCCCTCTCACCACTGAGCATTTCTTTCTGCTGCAGCTTTTGTCATATCTTCTCTTCTTTGTCTGCGAAAACACCCACTTAGCCTCCAGGCGTTTGCTCGGTGCTCACTGCCTCTGGAAAGCCTTCCTCCCCCCACGCCTCAGCCAGATGAGGTAGTTCAGATGCTCTGGGAAGGCACAGACAGGATCTTGCTCATGCACATGTGTTCCCAGCTCACCCCTGGGCATTGCACATAGTCAGCAAGAAATACCTGTTGCAAGAATGAATGACTGAACGAACCGATGAATGAGTACATGGACAAAATTTGCCGGTCTTCCACGAATGACCGATCAGAGGATTATTTTCAATAGGGATTTGGAAGGTAAGGGGTATTTTTGGTGTGCTTGGACTGGATGTCTCAGACTAAGGAACTGAAGCTTGTCTAGAGAATGTGGGAAAACAGTTATCAGTTAAAATACCAGTAAACTGATTCAGGAAAAAAAAAATCATGGTAAACTATTTGTGCTGACCCTAAGTAGGACGGATGCACAGCAGTAGTCAGTTTCAAGGACACCCCTGCCAGCCTGCTCCTGAGGATCTCAGCCACCCTTCTCAAGGGGAGAACCTTGAGTCTATAGCACAGATCTAGCACTACTGTGCATCTTCAGTTGGTTCCTCACGGCTGCCCCACAGCAGTACTGAATTTACAAAACTGACACTAAAGGGTGATCCTCTTCTGCCTCAGAATCAGAAATTTGGTTGTAAGTATGGTAAGCTACTCTGGTCATATGTGGCAAGACGAGAAGTCAAGACTTGGCATGAGCCCTACCTACTAGATTGGGACAGGCTTTGAAGAACTAACCTAGTTGCAGAGAATAATGCCAGTGGAAGAGCCACCAATACCAGGAAGCATAGCAGCCTCAGTCAAAATTTGGGCAACAAGTGGCAAGGGGTCTTCGAGTCCCAAGTACTGGGAGTCTGAAGGTGAGTTCATGGCTGGCTCCAGTGGGAAAGAGTCCTTACCATCAGGGTGGAGTTCAGGACTGGGGTGTGGACAAGACATGTTGGAACTGCCAGTTGGTGGCAGGAGAAAGAAGCCAGAAACAGGTGGGACTGGGGCCAGGAAAAGTGACCCTGCCAAGGTACTAGCTTCTTCAGAGAGTGGTCAGCAGTGAAACATGCTGGGCCTATGTAGGAAGGACCTAAAGATAGAGTCAGTGGACACAGTCGCTAGATGCCCAGGAGGTCAGGGGCCTGAGAAATGAGGTGAAGCTGCTTCTAGGGCAGAATCATCTTACAGAATGGGATATAGAGGATTCCACCAGGAGGATGAATGGCATGAGGTTCCTAGAGCTATGAGTACCTTCTGGGAGGTGTTCAAGCAGCTCTGGAATTTGGGATAATCATGTTGGTAGAGAGATAATCATCAACACTGACTCATTCCAACTACATAGGGGGAAAAGGACCTTCAAGCTGAGTGTCCAAAGAGGTGGCTGGAAGCTGCCACTCAGGGATGAGTGTCGGTGGGTGTGCAAGAAGGCAGCTTTGACAGAGAGGCTGGAACTGGGGCAGGATGTGAAGACACCAAAAGACTGAAGTTGTAAAAGCAAAGTTCATTTTGCTGGCTCTGAAAGAAGTAAATCACCAAAAGATCATTAGGGTGTTTTAGGGCCTGGCCAGCAGGGACTTTGCAGTGTCATCTGACACATTCTCCCCTGGGCTGGGGGGAGGGGGTGGGAGTGCTCTAGACCCAGGCAGGGGAGGCAGTAGGGATTCCCTGTTCCCTGTGGAGACCTAGCTAGACCACTGCGTTAGCAGAGATCTGACTCCTCCCTCTCCAATAAAGTGTGGCTCCAGTGATTGGGCGGGGTCTCATGTGTTTGTAACTGACAAGAACCTGGCTCCATCTGACATCAGTGTGGGTGGTGACACAGAACTCAAGACCAGAGTTCCCCTCTTAGGGTGTGGCTCGGTAGGCTGTAAACCAGCTTGATAAACTCACTAACAAATAATTCTTACAACATGTGTGGGATAGCCCCTCAGCCATAAAGCCACATATCTGTGGGCCTAGGCTAACAAGCTCTATATAGCAGTCCTGGGTTTTCTGTCCGACATACCCTACTAAGATACTCAATGGGAAGGAAACATGGCTAGGACTCACAGCAACCAGACAAATGACTGGGACCCACACCTGTGATGTCACCTTCTCTTTAGAAAGTTGGAGGACAAGGACCTATAAGGCCATAGGTCTCAAACTTAGGAGGCATGAAAATTATCTCTAAGATTTGTTAAAAATGCAGAATCTTGTGCTTCACATCAGAACTAATGAATCTGAATTTCTGAGAGTGTGTCCCAGGAATCTTCATTTTTAATAAATTTCCCAGGTGGTTTGTACAGGCCATATTCTAAGAAACAACAACGTAGAGGCCCATTCTGGGTTAGCAAGTAGAAATGGATTTTTAATTTTATGAGGATTGGGCCTAGAAGTAATTGGGGAGAGATGTAGACAGTCAGACTGTGCAACAATTAATAAAAATGAGATGAGATGGATAGACATTGAGGCTGGATAATTTCTGGATTTGTCAGGCAGACTGGGACTGAGGCCAAGGAATTACCAGTGAGGTTGGAGCTTTCCTGGTTGACTGGACAGACACCCACACAGGCACGGACAGCCTGTCAGTCACAGACAGAAGTTGGGGTGGGAGGAAGGACTGAGACTAAAGCTGCAACCAAGGTCATCAACATCCAGGGATCACTTTCAGCTGCTCTTGCTGTGCTGACAATGGGAGTCTGCTGATGACAGTGGCCTTGTATGGGAGGTGGGGGGGTGACTTTGGCCTCTTTCCTCTGTCCTACTTCTGGGAGACTCTTAATTTTAAGCTATAAGGAATTATCAGAACAGACCCTCTGCTCCCAGATTATCAATGCATCCTCATCTCTCCAAGAAACTTGGGCTTCTGTGCTAGAAAGTCTGGGTGGTCTTTGGGTGGGCTGGGCTGGGATGTGAGCAGGAAGCTACCAATGGGTAGAAGTTGATTGTAAGATTCATTCTTAAGATTCCTTTTCATTCATTACTCCTAGAGAGCTGGAGTTAGGACCCTTCAGGAAGTTAGGACAATCCTGAAGTTAGGACAACTTCAGGAATTCAGAAAATGGAAGAAAGAAACAGATACATTTACAATAACACAAGATTTCTAGCTTGTGATAATGTGATGAGTAAAACCATGCCAAAGAGGGAGACTGTGCCAAGAGAAAATTATCAGGATTTGGTGACTGAGTTCCTGCCTCCCCATAACTTGTATCATTCAGGGAAGTAGAGACTAGACCAAAACACACAAGGGGAACCTTGAAATCTGCCTGCTAAAGAATTCTGCCCTCTATATTTCCGTGACTTTAAGATTCATTTGGGTACACAAGTTTTCTTTTTAAAACACTGGTATCTCAAGGAAGAATTCTTGCTTTAAGTAGATAACTTTAATCAGGTTGCACTCCTAAAACTTGTAAGAGAGCAGCTGTACTGAGAGAATGTGAATTTCTGGTTGAGCTGCAGAAATAGGAAGTGATGTATGAGTATTAGGATGTACTTTGAGGGAAGGGAGTGGGGACTTATGTTCATCCATAAGGGAGCCTAGGGTACCACCCTCTACCTGGTGGAGGTGGGGAGGGGAAGAAAGTGTGGCCATCTCATGTGTTCTCTTAGCTCCCTGCATCCTGGATACTGTTCCTTCCCTTCTACTGTCTTTTGGTTGGGTCCACTCCCACTAATCTTTTAAGATTCAGTTTAACCTTCACTTCCTTCCCAGACTTGCCCAAGCAGAGATGGCAGCTCTGTCCTTCGGGCTTTCATCATTGTTTATATTCATGTTTTGTTCTGACCTGTTTATAGCTACATTTCTCCCACAGACCATCAATTCTTCAAAAGCAGGGATCATGTCATATTCATCTAGTACCTAACATAATATACAATAAGATCCAATAACTTTTGACATGATGAATGAATTTATGAAAATTAAAATATCTCACCTTGGCTAAGCAAATTATCAGTGTTAAAATAATAAACTTCTAAAAGATATTTCTAAATAGCACAGGGAGCATATGCATTGCTATGATATTTTTGCGTAACTTTTATATTTATTAAAGTGGGTTCCTTTCATACTTTTCTAAATATAACTGTTACCCAGTTAGTTACAAAAAACTAGAGGTATATTTTTATTTGTCCTGGCCTTTCCCCAAATTAGACCAAGTTAACAAAGTGTACCAAAACCATGCAAGCAGAATGTTTCACTAAAGATTCTAGTTTAAGCATAGACCTGCAGGAAGAAAACATTTAGAAATTCCCAGCAGGAATACTGTAGAAGGAATACTCTGAATACTCCACTAATTATACGAGATTACATAGACGAAAAAAATCACAAGGTGGCAAGGCAAATCTGGGGAAACTTTGAGGTACCATTTTACATGAGTCTTGGGCCTCAGGCAAGGCAGAGGAGTGAGTGCTCTGGATGCAGGTAACACATTGCTCTTCCTCAGGGTAGACTGAGTATTCACCTTGGCTCCTAGAAGTGGTTCTTCTTTTTGTCTGTCTTCCCTGGGCACTACCTGAATGGGTAATTCAGACGCTATCTCTGGTTGGTTTCCCCTTTTCCAATTTTCTGGCTTCCACCTTCCATCATCTACAGACTCCTTATACTTAAGTTCATGATTCTTCTTTTTAGACCCCCAAAAGCATTCTGAGGCTTTCAGGAAGACAGTAATTGCTGATTAAACCAGAATCCAAAGTCTTAACAACCAAACCAAACCAAAAAGTGGTCCTTCCCATTCATAGACGGTAGGGAGGAGGTGAGTATGTATAAACACAATGTAAGGTCTGTATAAAAGGAAATTTAGTTGCGTTTCTAATTTAAGAAAAAAAATTATCAACAGATTAGAAGAACAAATATTGCCACAATCTTTAGAAATGGAAACAACCCCCAGTAGGGGGTTGATAAATGAATCAGTGGTTTTCAAACATTTTTGCCCACACATGAAATACTATGGACCCTCTTGCATATTTTTCAATGGACATCTAAGATTTTTCATTGTAAGTTTAAGTAGTTGCAAAGGATGGAATTTCCCACATACTATAAAAATCAGCATTTTCAAATAAAACGGTCATATTTTTAAATGAATCCAATGAAATCTAAATATCATAGCAGTTATGCCGACCACCAACCATTTAAAAAATATATGAACAAACTCTTGTTTACCTATAGGATATTTTACATAATTTCTTTTTTTTTTGCTAGGAAAAACTCAGGTGAAATATATAATTTGTTTTTCTTTTCACACTTATAATTCCATTTGATATCCTCAACCCTCAGGAGTATAGGCTAATTAATGTATTTTTATGTTTGAATGTGTTTTATGAATCACCGTATTATATTTCTCTGCAATGAAAAATACATATAAATTTAAATTTCAAATTTCCTATGACCGAAAGACTGTAAGTGCTCATTTTCTTCTAGATTGAGGCATCATTAAATCTATTAGTAATTATCAAGTATTCAAAACAATACAAAACAAAACAAAACAATACAAAATTTAGTACAATATAATTATTAAATCTGATGTTTAACAATTAGTGCATGCATTTGTTGTTAAATACTACTTCTTACTAGAATGAGACAGAGTTCAGTATCCATGTTCTATACATGTTTCATTTTTATAAGTTCTCAGAAAATTTTTTCACATTAATAAGTAGATGGGTCTAAGGAAAGAATACAGGCGTATATTGCAGATTCAGAAACTGCTGTCCCTAAAATTAAGTGTCCACCTATCCCTTAAAAATTCCACGGGGGATACACATTTTGGTTTGAAGACCACTAATGCAAAGTTTTACATCATCTTATTGAATAGACGGACAGGTCAGCTCAGGTTAAGCCTTGGCTAGGACACTGTACCCTGGGAGTACAGAACTGTGATCTACACACGAGGGATAAAGCAGTCTTTTTGGTGGTTTAATTTTTATAGATGTCTGATCTCATCCTTTATACTCTATTTTCTTGTTAGTGGTAGTAACCTTAACTTCAATTTTAGGAATCTGACTTTGCATGTATATACTGACTGCCAAAGGGAAATAAATACTATGCTCCACTTAAAAATGATTAAGACTGTAAAAACATGAGAAATGTTCAGAGTTTGGCATGGGGAAAGACGCCAAATACATAGTTTTGTGAAAATTATTATTTCAATTATGCAAAACAACATAAACCTCTGAAGACTATATGTAAATACGCAAAAATGAAGTTATGCTTTTTTAATGACTTCTAACATAGTGGCTTCTAACATAATGAAGATTACATCCACGATGCTGGGGGGCAGTCTGTCTGCCCCAATATTCTCTCTCTCTCAGAGTACTAAGAATTGTGTGATTTTAAGTTCCCCCAAAGAAAGCATTCAAAAGATTGAAGGTCTATTTTCAAAAATTATTTTTTCATCATGATTCATTATGGGTGTTATTCCCCAATCATGTTTAAACTTTTCTTCAACCTACTTTAGTACACCCCAGGTCTTAATTCTAAACTTTTTAGCTTTCTTTCATTTCCTGTTTTTCATTTCCCAGAGTTCAAGCACTCGACCTTGTTGACTTTATACTGCTCTTAGGTTTTACCATTTCTCGTAACCTTTATATTTTTTTAGAGACTATTTTAAACATTCCTTATGTTTGGCAGGCTGCAAAACTCATCTCATTTTCTGAAATATGTTTCCTCGGTGTGTTCTGAGGCGTAATTAAGACCTCAGCATATTCCAGGGCCCACGCACCAAAGGAAAGGCAGGAGAGACTAGTCCGAGAGTGTTCACACGTACGAGAAAGTAACATTGTTTACTACTCCCCAGGGAGCTCTGGGATGCGACCAAAGGCTATCTAAACGAGCGTCTTTCGAAAACGCGAGTACATGGGTCCCGCGAGATCTCGGTAGACTCTCAGTCTACTTCGGGCCGCCGCGACGCAGCAGGGACCCGCCCCCTTCGCAACGCTCCGCCCCCCGGCGCGCCGCACGCAGGCGCGTCCTTCGCGGAGCTCGCGGCCCCGCCCCCTTCCCCGGTGCTCCGCCCCGGCCCCGGCACCCCGCCCCGCCCCGCCCCTAGGCGGTTGCTCGCGGCAGCCGCCGCCCTCCCCCGGCCCAATGGCGCGGCTGCCGCGTCAGTGATGTGAAGCAGTATTCAGGCTTGTCCGGCCCCCGGCCCGCAGCCCATTACACCATCCGCCGCGGCAGCTGCTGCAGCCGCTGCAGCCGCTGCAGCCGGAGCAAACTCAGAGGGCGGGAGGCAGCTCGGCGTGGCGGGGCGGGGCGAGCGGCGCGGCCGAATTCATTCCTGTGGGGCGCGGGGCATGGAGGAGCTGTGCGGCCGCAGGCGGAGCAAGGCGGCCCGGGCCACGGCGGGCACAACGGTTTCCATCTGAAGGGGGCGGCCCGAGCCCGAGCGGCCAGCGGCGGCGGAAGGACTTTCCTCCGGGCAGGTAGTGGCGGCGGTGGCGGCCTGCCAGGGCCCGGGCCGCGGCCTGAGGCGCCCGCGGGAGGCCTGGGCGGGAAGGAGGGCGCCCCCGGGAGCGGAAGGCGGGCCGCGGGCTGGAGGCCACAGGCTCATCGGCCCGCCGGGAGGGTTGTGGTCGATCGAGGAGCTCGGGAAGGGGCTGCTGGTGTGTGGAATATGTTTGGTCGAAGGTTATGTAGGGGCGGCTGTGGTTTAAGAAACCCGCGGATCCCGGGGGCTGGGGGGTCAAAACGGGGCGGGCGAAGTTAATGGCTAAAAGGCAGCCGGATTTCCTGAGAGGCTCAAGTAGTTACAAAGGAAAGCGAACCTTTCGGGTAAGGGTTTTGACCTTAGATGGCAGAGGTTTGGTGTGTCCGACCTTTTTGTTTCTTGTCGAGACCCATCTCTGCCACAACGAGGCCTTCCAGCCTCGCGCCCTTGGCCAGCGCTCCTGCAGATGCAAGAAAGAAACATTTCTTAACCCACGGCTCCTGCCTCTTTCGGTTGTACTCTCCCTGGGCGTGTGCAAAGCAAAACTAGAACAAAGCTTGGCTGGTTAGAGCTGGAGGCGAGAAAACCGGTTGCCTGTAGTGTTTAAATTTTCCACACGCGGGGAAGAGACTGCTTCCCACCAAAACATTTGGGTCTCTGTGTGTACCCTTCTGTATTTTCCCTTTCCACCTTTTTGGGGTGTGGGAGGCGACGGAATAATCCTTCAAGTATGGCCTTTCCCCCTCTTGCCACAGAGGTGGAAATCAAGAAAATTTAAATAGTGTTTTTGCCTTTACCTATGGAAAATTCAAAACTACTTTTTTTCTTTCTCTAGTTTGGTGCCCTGGTTGTCAGATGTTGGAAGGAAGTAGGACAGAACATACTCTCCGTGGTTTTATATCCGTTCTGAGGTGCAGTGATTAACATTGCACTTTGGTTCCCGTAAGTCCTGCCTGCGCCGGTAGAGTTAAGCTGGAGCTCTGCTTTGAAGGATAAATAAAGCACAGCCTCTCAGTTGGACATAAATGGATCTAAAGACAGCAGTATTTAACGCAGCTCGGGATGGCAAACTCCGGCTTCTCACCAAGTTGTTGGCAAGCAAATCCAAAGAGGAAGTTTCCTCCTTGATCTCTGAAAAAACAAATGGGGCCACTCCACTCTTGATGGCTGCCAGGTATGGGCACCTTGACATGGTGGAATTCCTCCTAGAACAGTGCAGTGCCTCCATAGAAGTCGGGGGTTCAGTCAATTTTGATGGTGAAACCATTGAGGGGGCTCCCCCTTTGTGGGCTGCTTCTGCAGCAGGACATCTGAAGGTGGTCCAGTCTTTGTTAAATCATGGAGCATCTGTTAATAATACAACTTTAACCAATTCAACTCCTCTTCGAGCTGCATGTTTTGATGGCCATTTGGAAATAGTGAAGTACCTTGTAGAACACAAAGCTGATTTGGAAGTGTCAAATCGACATGGGCATACGTGCTTGATGATTTCATGTTACAAAGGACATAAAGAAATTGCTCAGTATTTACTTGAAAAGGGGGCAGATGTTAATAGAAAAAGTGTTAAAGGTGAGTTCACCTTCTTTGTTTTTATTTTTTAAGTGTCTATCACTTATTTTCAGGAAGTTTGATATATAATTATAAGCATTGGTGTTGAGTAAACCAACATTGACAGACCTGTTTTGGTTAGGTAACTCTTCCAGTATAACCTTGTGGAGTGTTTCTCTGATATTTGATAAAACATTGAACAAGTGTGATAAAAGACTTCTGTCACTATGTTAAGCAGCATTTTCTCTCTCATTTGGAGTTACTTCCAATTCCTGGGAAGCGGCTCCTTCAAAGTTACAGAGCATATTAATGGTAGTTGACCTGAGCACTTAGGTTTATATTTAATCTACCTGGGAATATAGTTAAATGTAATACATTTTTCTTAGCTTTTTTCTTTTAAGAAAAACCTTGAAGTAGGAACTACTGTATTTAATGAGTCATCATTTTGTTTGTTCTAGGTAGGCATTTCATTTGTTATTCTGTCAGGAAGGCTAGGCCAAACTGACCTGGAAGGATTAATACCAGTGGAAAGGAAGAAAATCTGTTCACTTATTCCATATTTATTTGTGGCCAATAGAAATTCCTTTTATATAGGACATGTATTAAATATAGCAAGAGAGAAAACAGATTTTTAAAACTGCTTCAATACTGAGTGTGCAAAACAAGGACTGGGTTAAACAGATGTGGATTTGTTGGCTAGCAACAGTGTAAACACCTTTGTCCTGAAGAAGAGCTCAGGTTTACAATTGTGTATAATTTTCATTGACTGTAATAAACTTAAAGCAGCAAATGGTAGTTTAGAATTTTTTAAAGCCTTAAAAGCAACTGTTTTCATAGCATAATTTTGATACTTGAAAACCTTGTTTTCCTTAAGTCTATTTATACAAAAGCCAAGTAATTTACTACCTAATTTTAAAAAACGATTAAAATTTAAAGTAGCATACAGATATATTTAAAAAATTCAAACAATACAATTCAAATACAACAAAAGATAAGTCTTATTACCCCCTGTTCTAGAGCTGCACCCCACTGGCAACCACTATTTATAGTTTTTTGTGTCCTCTTAGAGATAGTCTGTGTAAATACAAGCATACTTCTCTGTGTAGTCTACCCTCCCTCCTGCTTTCTCCTCACTGTTGGTTGGCAGGTACTGTTCTGTATGTATGTATGTATGTATTTATTTATTTTTAACCTTAATTTATCATGGATGTCGTTCAACTCCAACACACATAGTTACCTCATTCTGTTTCATGGCTATACAGTATTTCATTGTATGAATATGCATAATTTATCTAGTCTCTATTGGTGGACCTTTAGATCATATCTGGTACTTTGTAATATAAACAATTATGCTGTGAACATTCTTGAACAAAAAGGTGACTTTGCACACTTGTGTGAGAATAGCTATAGTATAAATACCTGTATTTGGAATTGCTGAATCAAAATGAATATGCATTGGTAATTGTGATAGTGTTTGATTGCCTTTCAGAAAGGTTAAAGAACAATTATGGGACACTACATAGTGCATACTTACTGAAGATAGTATCTTTTTGGGAAAAAAAAGGGTTGTTGTGAAAATGATACAAGATCATTGTGGTTTTCTGAAATTTTTTTTCAGGAAAAGTAAAAGAATCTGACAAAATCCCAGTACTCAGAATTAATCCTTCCAAAGATATTTCTGAATTTTGCATACAGATATATATGCAATTTTATTTTATATGCTGTTCTATAACCTGGGTTTTAGCTTAATGTTATCTTTAATGTCATTAATTATAGCTCTTTAATTTCAATAGCTGCATACTCTTCTACTAATGGAGTTTTATGTTGCTTCCAGTGTTTCTTTATGATAAAAAATGTTTCTGTAAACATTCTTGTTATGAACTTTTTTATTTGTTTTGATTATCTTTAGGGCTAGGTTGTTAGGTCAGAGGACAGCATGGCTTTTTTCTTTTAAATAATCATCTTTTGAAGAATGTGCAAGAGCATAAAATTACTGAACTGTTAATATTAGGAGTGCTTTGAAATCATAACTAGGAGTGGAAGGGTTAAAATGTATGGCTGCTTGTTTAGGTTTGTTGGATTTTTTGTTTCTTTGTTTAGGTTTTTTTATTCATCAGCTTAATGATGTGCAGATTATTGATAAACTCATATTTAAGCCAAATTGGGATATGTTTTAAACTCTCATGTCATTAGAGAGATGAGTGCTGGTACTATTGCCCTTATGTTTTTCAAAGCTGCTTTATATGCTTTTGGAGATAGAGTATATGAAAAAACTAATATAAATAGTTCATATTTTGTCAACATTTTCCCCTAATAAACGGTGAACAATATTTAACTTGATTACCTTTGAACTCTTTTGGAGTAATGTTCCCTTTATCATCACCATCATCTTACAGCCTTGTATGTGAGGGTGTGTATGCTCCCACTTTCAGCCAAATGGTTTGCTAATTCTAAGTCATTTGTTCCCTAATGTCAATATCTAGTATGTGTTTATTTAAAAAAATACACACAAATACATATAACTTAAGAAAGCCATTTCATACTAAAAGTTGTTTTCAGATAACCTCAATTTCATAACATATAGATTTTATAACTTTGTGTGCAGTACTTTTACCTTTTCATGGTGCATTTAATTTCAACCGTGATCCTTCATGAATGTTGGGGGCAGATTAAAGTACACATGCACCCTCCCCTACTCTGATCCTAAAGCTTCAAATCTGTGATAATCATTCTATTATTTATTCTGGATTTTTAAATGAGGTAATGGTAATTAAAAAAGCAGGAACCAATTGAAACTGAGGCAGGGATACTGGAGAAGAATCTTAAATAGCAGCAAGGAAGGATTTTTCCCACATTTTTAGCCCCATCCAAAAAGTGGAAAAGACCAATAAGACTAGGGATAAAATGGAATAATTTCTTAAGACATTTTAATGTGTCATCTGTGGTTGTGAGGAAAGAAAATGCCAATAGATTGTGTTTGGTTTGCTTAAATATAAAATGCATGTGACTTCTACATTCCATTACTTTTTAACAAGCTGTTGATATTTGAATATATTATTTAACCTCTTTTCATTACTTTTTAACAGGCTGTTGGCATTTGAACATGTTTTAACCTAAGGTGGAATTCATTAATTGAGAGAGCATTTGTTGAGTCCCTCAGTGTGCCAGGCTGTTAGACTTAGGATATACAAAGATGAGTAAAACAAGATATCCAGTCCTTGATTCCCTGCTCTTGAGGAGCTCATGGTTTGATTGGAGAGACAGGTTCATAAGCAGATACTTAAACTACAATATGGTAAGTGCAACAGTGGTGCTTTCTTCTATTAGATGTTTGGAAATACATAAAGTATTATCCAAGTTTATATGGATAAACCTCAACAACTACCTGAGAGATCGATGGGTTCCTTCTTTCCCCATGGTATTTGAAAAGGAGAGAAAATCTTTGAGGTATTATTGAATACCTCTTTAGTTTAACACAATATTTGATTTTTGAGACCGTGGTTCCTATTTAAAACAATAGCTCTCACCAGAATTGATGAGATAAGCTCCCCTCTGAGCTATCACAGTGATCTCAGTGCTTCATGTGTAGTCATCTTTGGCTTTCTTTGGTTTTTTTGTTTGTTTGAGTTTTTGTTCTTGCTTGGACTCAAAATGGACTTCGTAGATTCAAGGCGAAGTTACTGAAGCCCTTCAATTCTGCTTTTACACCCTAATTGATGGGGAATTGAGCAGCTGAAAGTGCTTGATTCAATACTACAGACCAATAGAACAGTTTTGGATTGGGATTAGGAGACTGACCATAGAAGATGCTCTGTCCTCATTCATGGGTCAATCATTTTAGACACCCAAGTTGATTAAGGTATTAGGTTGGTGCAAAAGTCATTGTGGTTTCAGCCTTAATTTTAAATCATTATAACTAGGCTCAAACACATCTTTATTAATCAAAATAGGAACCATTACAACCAACACATTTTTGCCAATGAGAAATAAGTTTGTTTATTCCTGTAGCATAAAAATCCGTGCCTCGGGATTCCATGAACTCTAGGAAAGCATTTTCTGCATCCTGCTAGTTGTGGAAGCGTTTTCCCTGCAAAAAGTTGTGGACATGCTTGAAGGAAGTGGTAGTTGGTTGGTGAGAAGTCAGGTTAATATGGTGGATGAGACAAAACTTTGTAGCCCATTTCATTCCACTTTTGAAGCGTTGGTTGTGCGACATGTTGTGGGGTGTTGTGGAGAATTGGGCCCTTTCTGTTGACCGGTGTTGGCTGCAGACATTGCAGTTTTCAGTGCATCTCATGGATTTGCTGAGCATACTTCTCAGATATAATGGTTTTGCCAGGATTCAGAAAGCTGTAGTGGATCGGACTGGCAGCAGACCACCAAATAGTGACCATGACTTTTTTTTGGTGCAAGTTTCGCTTTGGGAAGTTCTTTGGAGGTTCTCTGTCCAGCCACTGAGCTGGTTGCCGCCAGTTGTCATACAAAGTCCACTTTTCATCACATCACAATCCGATCAAGAAATGGTTTGGTATTGTTGGGTACAATAAGAGAAGGCAACCCTTCAAAACGGCCATTTTTTTTGATATGTGCTCAGTTCATGAGGCACTCACCGAATTTTTTTTTCACCTTTCCGATTTGCTTCAAATGCCGAATGACCATATAGAATGGTTGACCTTGAGTTTTTTGGCAGCTTCTCGTGTAGTTGTGAGAGGATCAGCTTCAATGATTGCTCTCAATTGGTTGTTATCAACTTTCAGTGGCTGGTCACTGTGCTCCCTCCTCATCTTCAAGGCTCTCATCCTCTGCAAAACTTCTTGAACCACCACTGCACTGTAGTTCTGGGCCAAATGCGTTGTTGATGTTGTGAATTGTCTCCACTGCTTTAAGACCCATTTTGAACTTGAATAAGAAAATTGCTCAAATTTGCTTTTTGTCTAACATCATTTCCATGGTCTAAAATACAAAATAAACAGCAAACAATAAATTATTAGCAAAAAAAACCATAAAGCGAGAAATGTGCA